ATGTTTAACAGACATACTTTGAGGCCTATACTAATTTGGTCAGAGGGACATAAAGGACAGTTTTTGCTCCTTGCTTTCCTAGGTGGACTAATTCCAGGGGACTGTGAGCATCTCTCAAAATGTCCTGTAACTGTGGTGAGTCACCTGTCCTTTTGATCAAGGAGGCCGTGGAGACCCCATGAGATGGACTTGAACCAGTATACAAAGAGGAAGGTCAACACAGAGGGAACGTTTCCTCCATGCTTCCAAGAGAAGCCAGTCATGGTCAAGCACGACCTTGGACTTATCTTCACATCGATGGAACTGGTAAGAGAAAGGAGCCAGAGGCTCCTCCCAAGCCCATGTGATCCCTGAGGAACAGATCATCAAACAGCCTTAAGAGTAAAAATAAATTGGTTTATCTGGGCCAACTGTATGGCCTTAAACACCCAAAAGGAAAGTATAACCAAATATTAAAGGGGCAAATATAATTTTTAAGAGTCCATATGTATAGCTAAAGGCTACATAACAAGAAACAATGCCAGATAGGAGATACCTTCTTTGTCTCAGGGTAGCCCAAGAGACTCCCATATAGTAACCCAGCAGAGAACTTGGAAAATGAACAGCAGATCCCAATCTTATCTAAAGGAATATTGACATCTGATTGCTGCTAGATGAGGAACAGCTGACCTTCCTAAAACAAAGACATCTAGATAGGCTGACTTGATTCTCTGGATGGACAAGTACTAGGAAATGGCTGGGGGTGCCGACAACACAGTGGACAGTACCAGGGATGACAGAATATAAGGGCTCTAGTGGTGGGGGCGGGGAGGGTATGAGAGGGTGCCATCTTGGAAGTGGGTGTATAGATGAATAAGGTGGTTTGGGATGTTCTGTGTGATGTACACACAAAAAAAATCAACAAATTTAAAAAAATGAGTTATATTTGAAGAGGAAGCATAAATATTTATGTCATGTTAATTAGTAGAGGTGATAAATATTACCATTGAAATCTACCCGGTGACTTTATATCCATACACAGGTGCCAAGGATCCAAGTGAAACCGAATATGACTAGTAATAATAAGATACATAGAGATTAGAGATGCATGTGCCAACATCTAAGTGTTATTAGCAAAAACAATGAGTCTTTCTGTAAGAAGCAGTATATTTTACAATGAAATGGAGATCTTTTTTAAAGGTTAAAAACTCATTCAATTTTATGTCTTACAGGGTTTATACTGAGTTCAATATTGTATAAATGTATTAACTCAACTGTGAACCTAGAAACTTCCACCCACCTGTGAAAGAGATGCACTCTTGCTCTGGAGTATGTTACTGAATATGTTAAATCTGTAGTGAAATGCTTCTTAAATAAAAAAGTAAAAAAAATTTTAAAAGAACTGAGTATCAACTTAACCCCAGATGTACAAGTCCCACCACAAAACACAAGAAACATGAAAATTCAAGGAAACATATTGCTTCTAAAAATTATCAAAGTGTAATGGCTCTCATTGAGAGTTAATTAGATGAAATTTGAGACACAGAATTTTAATAAATGGCTATAAATATGTCCAAATAAAACAAAGAAGATATAAATAAACCCTTGAATGAACTCCATGAGAACACAAACAACTGAATGCAAAAAAAGGACAATCACACTAGGTAAGAAAATAAAGTTTAATAAAGAGATAGAAATATTAAAAATTCGTGGTGGCATATGCCTTTAATCCCAGCACTTGGGAGGCAGAGGCAGATGAATCTCTATGAGATCAAGGCCATCCTGTTCTCTATAGTGAGTTCCAGATCAGCTGTGGCTATAGGGAGATCCTATGTCAAAAAGACCAAAAAAAAAAAAAAAAAAAAAAAACCTGAAAAATCTAAAAGAAGTACATGAATTTCTAGATGCATATGACATACTAAAGCAAAATCAAGATGAGATAGACAAATCTATAACAGAAAATCTAAAACAAGTCTATAAACAGATCTGTAACAATGAAACTGAAGCTGTCATAAAGAAATGATTAGTGAGGTGTAAAAAGAACACAAAATCCACATTGAAGGGGCTTCCACTAGCCAAAACAGGAATGGGCTAATTAAAACAGTGAACAATAGCAGATACAATCCATGGACTGAAACAGGAAGTGAACAGGGAATGGAAAATCCTCCCATTCATAGACAGTCACCTACTACATACATGTTAGGCTACTACCACAAGCACAGAAGTTATTAGCATATGATAAAATTGCTTGGTAAAGGAAAGAATGTAGGAGCCGGAGGAAGGGGTGGAAGATTACCTGGAAGTGTACTCTGACTGACCACTATGCTGACAAGCTATAGTCACACCTCCTTCCCCTGCTCATCAAGGAGTCAAGGGGAGAGTTAGTTACCCCTCCCACCCAATCAGTTGACTTTAGCTGCATGTGGGGGAGGGGCTAAGGATATATAAGCCTAGAATGCCAGGAAGCACCTCTCTCAGCACTCTCTGTGGCTATTGGGAAGTCACAGGATATGAATTTGAATGTAGACTTTCCAGTACAGCTGTAAATGGGGGGGGGGCACCCACTCCTTTGTAAATAAACCCCCACCCTATGCTCTGTTAAAAAATAAAAGAAAATGATAGGTGTTTGGATAAATAGATGAGAGGGATCTGACTAGACTGCAAGTGGATGGACTTGGACTGGGGCATGTCTGGGGACACTGACTTGACACAGTGGGCTTTTATGCCCAGGACAGAATATATAGGTTCTGGTTGAGGGGCTATGGGAGTGTGCTTGTGGGGATGGGACTATAAAGATGATTCAGAGTGTTTGAGATATTCTGTATGAAATACAACAAAATTTAATAAAAATGAATTTTAAGAAATCACTGGGTGAAGAATTGATGAGCAACAGAGTATTGGCAAAAGTCAACGTTCTGCTGCCAGAATAATTAATAAGCTACAAAGAGCAAATAGCAATTCCAGAGCAGAGAACTAATTCCAGCATGATCAGATGAGCAAAGTCCACACAGCAGCAATTCAGGGCCAACTCTGCTCCTGGAACCTGGACAAGAGTTGCCCTACAATTGGTACTAAGCTCCATAAGAACATTAAACACAGGGAAAGACTGAGGAAGTCTTTTGACTTAGAACAAAACAAGATAAATTGAAGTCAGAAAAGAAAAGCCAGATCCTCTAAAGAGTATCCTGAGGCAGAAATGAAACTTTGGGGGAGGTGAGGACATCTGAGTGGAGTCCATGATGGAAGGGTGACAGAGGCATGATTATTGATTTTGTTAGCAGGAGAGTGGAATTGGAGTTAGGAGCATTTAGGGTGCTGGGCCCTGATGTCAGAAAGGACTTTGCAGTAGGGAGCAGAGAGGCAGGGAAGAGCTGCAAAGACAATAATGTAACCTGGGTAAAAGATGGCAGTGACTTTGTACTCTTGGAGATTTCAGTCAACTTGAAAGTACTTTTACTAATTTTAATGATTTATAAAATTTAATTTCTGAAATTATTCTGATAAATGTTACTGGTACAGCCTTCCTTCTTGATAAATAGAAAAGTCTTTTAAAAAAATTATTTATTTTTATTTTAGTGTATTTTGCCTACATGTATGTAAGTGTCACCATGTCATGCAATGTCCATGGAGGCCAGAAAAGGTCATGAGATCCCTTAGAACTAGGGTTAACAGACATTTGTTAGCCTCTGTGTGGGTGGTAGGAAGTGAACCCAGGTCCTCTGCAAGAGTAGCCAGTGCTCTTAATCTCTGTGCCATCTCTCCAGGCCCCAAAAGGTCATTCCTTTATTTCATTCTTTTACTTATTCAGGCTCCAAATCCCAGTAGTCCCTCTATCAATAATCTACGGGCAAACAGATGGAAAATCCAACCTGTTCCTTGTCAAGGTACTTCTGTGTCTCTTCATCCTCTCTACTAGAGTCCTCCCCATAGGAAAGGAGTACTGTTTACAGTTGCCTATGAGGTATAGAAAATGTCCCTCCAACTCAGTCCCTTCTCACATCAATCTTTACTGTGATGGGTTAGACTGTGTCCTTCTAAAAATTCGTATTTTGAAGACAACATGCAGGACCTCGGAATTTGGTAACATTTGGAAGTATGAATCTTCAAAGAAGTGATTAAGAGGAAATAAACTCACTGAGTGGATCCTAATCTGACTGGTGTCCATTTAAGAGGAGATAAGGACATACAGAAGAAGACAACAGCCAAACTGCAAGCCACTGAGATAAGCCTCAGCAGAAATAAACCTGATGATACTATGAAGTCAGAGTTCCAGTTCAGAGCTGTGAGAAAATCAATTTGTTGTTAAACCACTCCATCTGTGATGCTTTCCACAACAGAACACTAGCCAATCTCTATCACTCTTGGGTAATATAATGGGTTCTAGTTTCTCTGGTGAGATGTTCCAGACATATCAGGTATGCTCTGTCTCAGGGTCATTGGCTGTTTCTTCCAACTAGACTATCTTCTTACAGTCAGAGTCAGGTCTCACACTCAGCTCACTTGTCATATGCTCACATTTGCCTGCCCTTCTTGCTACTTAAAATAGCACCCTACCCCCACCATGACTAACCTTCCCTTCGCACTTGTTTCATCCTTCTTAATTGCATATTTATTAACTGTCTCTTTAACAAAGGAGGAAGACTTCTGTTTACTTCTGCATCCCTTGTACTCAAAGCACATCATACAAGTGACCAGATATTAAATGATGAAGATGTTCTTGTAACATTTACCATTTCAGTTGTAAAAAGATAGTATGTACTGTGCTTGAGTCTAAACCAGTTGTGGGCTCCTTCAGGAACAAGATGGAAGGATCGGTGATCAACTCCATTGCTATTCTGGTCCTTTTTGTTTCTCCTGCAGCTGTAACCTAAGATACAAATTATTATCATTATCAATAAAACAACCTTAGTCATCATCATTTGGTGAACTAACCTGTGCCCTCCCTGAAAGAGGCACTTCATCTCATTCTTTTCTTTGTTCTGAACAGCAGTAATGAGCACTTGGGAGAAGGCTTATCTTCCTTTATGACCCTTATCAGGTGAGACTCTCAGCTCTAAGGTAGAAATGAAAACTTTAAAAGACCTGGCCTTGACATATTAAAGGGAAACCAGCAATTGTGCTGGTTATGTTTTTTGTTAAATTAATACAATCTAGAGATAACTGGAAAGAAGGAACCTCAATTGAGGAAGTCCCTCCATTGGATTGACCTTGACCATGCCTGTGAGTCATTTTCTTAATTGATGTTAGGAGGGCATAGCCCACTGTGGGTGGTGCCATCCCTGAGCAAGTGGGCCTGGGCTATATAAGAAAGGTAACTGAGCAAGCCAGGGGAAGCAAGCAGTAAGCCAGTAAGCATCATTCCTCCATGGTCTCTGCTTCAGTTCCTGCCTTCAAGCTCCTGCCTTGAGTTCCTGACTTGGCTTCCCTCAATGATGGACTGTAAAGTGTAATATGAAATAAATATTTTCCTCCCAAGTTGCTTTTTGTCACACTGTTTATCACACTAACAGAAACCAAACTAAAGCAGTAGTCATGTAATGTCATCCTTCCCTATACCACCAAATGTCTCTAAGATGACGTTCAAGAAGAGAGCAGATTAGATGTCTAGAAAATTCACATTCAGTCTCACAATACTGACATTATTCAAACCTCCACAAAACTTTCCAAACTGATGCTGTCTACTCTCTAACTCAGCTCAGAATCCTTGATTCATTATTTCAGACCAATCACCGAGAAGGTAGGATAGTCCCAAAGGCAACAGGCTTCATCTTTTCAACCAGCTGATATCATTGGATGTGTCAAGAGGAGTAGGAAGGGGAACTCGGGATATGGTTCGGTTGGCAACCGAACCATGCAGGCATGTACTTTCCATACAGGCATGAAGACCTGTGTTCAATTGCTACTACCCACATAAAAGCAAGGCAAGGTGGTGAGCATCTATAACCTCAGCACTGGGGAGATGCAGACAGGCAGATCCTGGGGGGTCTCACTGCTCAGCTAGTTTTGTCAAATTCATGAGCTCATATCAGTGTGAGAGCTTGACTCAAAAAACTAAAGTGGAGAGCAACTGAAGAAGACACAGTACTGACCTCTGACCTCCACACACATGCACCTGTATATACATGTGCAGACCCAAGAACATGTACATACATCACACATGGACACAACAAATAAAAAGGAAGTTTGGAAAGGAGCAAGAATTCTAAAATAATTCCAAAATTAAGCCTCCAAATTTGAAATAATCCAATGATTTATTGGAGCCTATTAGCAATTGAACTACAAAAGGCATTTGCATACTATTTAGATGTGAATGAATATGAGTTGACATAGCTGATGTGATGCTTATGATTCATTTTTAGTTAGTGATGATACGATAAGGTAAGGAAATTACATATTTTATATATAACAAATATTCATTGGTAAAATTATCTTTAAAATTCTTCTGTAAAATAGACCTAAGTGAGATATGAAATACATGAAAAATCTGGATGAATATTAGTGATTATGTAATTATGTTATCTGACACTTATAGCAATAAGACTATTTTCTCTATGTTTGAGACACAACACAGTAAATGTAGCCCAAAAGGCAATGGAACAAAGTCCCCAGGAAGAAGAGGGACAGAGCAGCTATAAAGGGGAAGAGAAAAAGAAGAAAAGTTAGTGCCAAGATCAAAAGTGCCATGACCTGAACACTAGGAGGGCGCCATATGGAAAAGGCCATGTGAGGAACGCTGTTCTATACCAGACCCCCTCTGCATTCCCAAGATTCAATCATTTTTAAGACTCATGTTCCACCTTAATTTTACCTCATATGATGTGATGGTTTCTTTTCTGGTCAGTACAGAAAGCAGTCACTTTGACCACATACATATAGGACATTTTTGATTAAGGGTCACAATCATATGCACAGGAGAAGTCCTCTTTTCCTTACTATGATTCTACTACTTCTGTTTTGTTTTTTCAGATTACCTTGGACTCTGCCAGGTCTTCCAGCTGTAACTCTTCAATGACTCTGTTAACCCGCTCATATCTTTCAAGATTCGTCATAGTTGTTGGAAGACGAAGAGCTGCTGAGAACTGTAAATTTTCTCTCACTGTCAGCGTGTGCATCACAGCATCATCCTTAAGGGCAACAGGAGTTGAGTCAGATGCAGTTATCATTTTCTGAGGCTATCACTCTAGTAAATATAACTTCGTCCATGAAAATAACCTATCAATGTAAAGTTCTAGTCAATGATGTTCTGTAAATTGCAGTAATTCCACCTAACTCCCCTTTGGCAATGATATAATAGGCAGAACTGATCCCAGTGCTCTTCAAGGTCATATTCCAAACCTTCTTTTAACACCAGGCTCATATTGCCATTTGACGCCATATTCAATTAATGAGACTATGAAAAGTTGGTTAAAGAAAGTTGGTTTTATGAGCAACTATATAATCATCTGGAAACATACTAAACTACAAGCAAAGGGACTTGTATATATTAAACCTAAAATATAAACCTAACACTTACTTGTACCACATAACATGAAATAGAATTGAAATTGGCAGGTGGAGGTGCTCCATTTATCAAGACATCTCCAGACAATCCACTTGGATCTTTCCTTAAAGCTAAGATATCTAACAACCTGTAAAAAGATACATATGTTGTCAGGTTCACTTCTCTCCAACGCAGGCTGCATCTCTTAGCTTCTATAAATCCAAATTCATGCCACAAACATGAACTAACCAAAAAATTTTGATTTATCTAGCTATAGGAAGTGGGTAAGAAATCCCAACCAAACATAAGGACCTTCTGGTAATTGATGGCTGCTAGGAGGGGGAGAGGCAGTGTCTTACAGGGATGGAACTCTTGGTGGGCCCAGTGGATGGACCCACTGAAAGGCATTTGAGGACACAAATTAGACTCTATTAGACTTTATTATATACATATATATATATATATATATATATATATATATATAATACATATACAGATATATTTAAATTCTCAGCTTCCTTTTCATTATGTGTTGTAAGAAAGCCCCAAAATATATAAAAGTTAAGATAACAATGATCTGTCTAGCACAGACCTTCCAAATGACTCCCCCGATATGTGACCTTGGTAGTCCCAACCCAAGTAATGTGCTGCTTTATCCAACACTCATGTCCTTACTTAAGCCTTCTGCATCATCTCCTCACTTAAAAACATGCATTTATTATCATTGAATGTGTGAGTGTGTGAAGTATGTGTGGGTACATGTGTGTCATGATGAGCACAAGCACATGGAGGGTAGAGGACAATCTTGTGGAGTTGGTTCTCTCCTTCCACCTTTATGTGAATTCCAGGAACTTAATTCAGGTAGCCAGGCTTGCAAAACAAGTGTCATTACCTATCCAGCCATCTCACCAGCCCTCTTTACGTTTATCATTATCTCCTTCCCCCCTCTCCATTAGCTTATAATAAAATTCATCATTATATACCAGTCACTTTATTGTATCCTATTAGCAAAGCTGACCTAATACATCTTCCTGGTTCTTGGAAAACAACAAGCTAGTCCAACTCTACATCATCCACAGCACCTAGGACCAGACTGGGAATGCCAGACAGCAATGAACCAGCAGATGCTCATGAAAAGTGGTATTTAAAAGTATACTGTAACTGCACAGAAAAGGCTTATTTATATTTTTGTTTATACTCACAAAGATCTGCCTCCATCTGGGGGTCCCATAATGGCATTGAGGCCAGGTTCCATGATTCCACTGGAAATACAAAGACATACTGATCTACTGTTCCATTTACATGCCGTTCTATCAGGATCTTCATTGAATACATTCAAAAAATGATGATGAACTATTTGAGCAGCTCAAATAGAATACTGTTGATTAATAGAAACCTAATATATAAAGGGTTCAATCCACTCACTAGTCAAGACCTATAAGACAAATGGCTTAGGTCCTCCTAATTTTCTTTCATTCATTATCTAAACTACTTATCCCTTTTATACAATTATACATGCAATTTTGGAATAGGAGTGTAGCTCAGTGGTAAGACAGATTATTGGCATGCACAAGACTGGGATTTTCTTAAATATTTTATTTATTTATATATATTTATTTATTATTTA